GTGCACCACATACACACCTGATGCCCGAGGAGGTCAGAAGAGGGCATCGGTTTTCCTGAATTTCCTGGAATTACAGAAGGTGTGAGCCCAGAGGACTGGGCAGTAAATCCCAGTCCTCTGCAAGAGCAACAAGTGCCCTTAATTGCTGAGCCTACCTTCGAAATCCTTGACAGTCTTTTTAAAATGCAGTGTTTTTATTGATTATTTGAGAATTTCATGTGTGCAAACAGTGTGTTTTGATTATATTCACCCCCAGAACTCATCCTTGACCCCTTACTGTCTCTTCCCAAGTTCATCTCTTACATTGAAAGTCTTGAGAAGCAGTAGTCAGTGATTTTGTGGAATGTCCCATAGTTGGGTTTGTCTGATATGTTTCTCACCATTAACTGGGATGATAGATTTTGGGGTAGATCACAGATGTGAAGTCCGTTCTTAGTTTTAAGAGCACAGACTGTTAACACAACTCCTGGTTGTTGATAGCAATCTTGGTCATTGGGTGGAGACAGTATTGGCTAAATTTATTCATTGTGAACTGATTCCCTCTGTCTTTCCATATTGGGCTTTTTGGAAAGAAACACTAGGCACAGCCCACATTTAGCAAGAGACGTGTTGTGTTTCCTTCAGGCGGGGTTATCTAAGAAATTGTCTGGGATTTGTATGCATAAGAAATTAGTATTTTCTTTCAGGTTTTTTGTTTGGTTTTTTGAGACAGGGTTTCTCTGTATAGCCCTGGGTATCCTGGAACTTGCTCTGTAGACCAGGCTGGCCTCAAACTCTCAGAGATCCTCCTGCCTCTGCCTCCCAAGTACTGGGATTAGAGACATGTGACACCACTGCCTGGCTTCCTTAGGTTTAAAATTACTATTGTCTTACTGTATTATTGCTGGAAATTGAAGTAAGGACCTTGTGTTATACCACTGAGCTACTTCCCACCGTCTCCCTACTTTATTTGCTCAGTCACCTAATTATGCCACTATATATGGACTCATGGGCACTTATTTTATGCTCTGGCTTGCAATGCCTTGTTGTATCATCTATTTTTATTCCCATACTACTCCTGCTTGGACTGGGGAAGCTCCTTCAGTTGGCTCTCATTTCCTTTCACTTATCATGTTACTTTTGCTTGAGCACATCCTTATTTATTGCCATCCAAAATGCTTTGTGCTCATTGTATACTTCTTGTCATCTGAAATATATATTCCTAGAATCACTGGGAGAGCCAGCCATTTCTCTAAGAATCCCAGGTTCTTTTGTTATTAGAAAATATTATTTCAAACAAATGGCACTAGATGTGTTTTTTTAAGTTTTTTGTTTAAGTTAAGCTTTAAGTTTTAATATACTAAGTTAAAATAACTTAGTATATTTGCTAAGTTACATTTTGTGTTTTTTTAATCTTTAAAATAGGGTGCACCTGAGAAGTTCAGAGTGTGGGGCTCTGTAGTCAACACCTGGTATGGCCCTCATGGTTTACTCTTTGTCAGCCCCTCATCATCAGTGAGTTTTAATGTTGCCTGACCTATGAGGCTGTTGAAATCCTGTGTTCCTGGACTTGTCTTGAAGGTTGAGTGAGAGAGTACTCTTAGGGCTCAGAAGACTTGACAGGTCAGTGCTCAGAAAAGAATGTTTAATTACAGCTCAAGCTTTACTGATGAATTGGTATTTAAGGAATAGCAACTGTTACAAAGAAGCCAAAGCTATGGAGGACTCCCCAGGGTCCTGTGTGTTTTCATTTCCTCAGTGACACCAGTGCTGGGCAACAGTCTTTCTCATAGGATTGGAGTAGTCACAGATACATAGTCTTCAGGCAGTTCATCTTTTCTTCTAAGGCCATCTGTCTTAAGGTCATCTGTGCATTGTCACCCTTTTTAAAGGGTCTCATGTAGCTCAGGCTGGCATTGAACTCTATATGTGGCCACCAAAGGTGGCTTTCAACTTGGAAGTTGTAGAAGTCAGAGGACAATTTGTGGGAGTTGGTTGGTTCTTTCCTTCTACCATGTGAGTTTTGGGGGGCTGAACTCAGGTAATCGGGCTTGGTACAAGTGCCTTTGCCTGCTAAGATGTCTAGCTGGCCTCATCATGAATTTTCATGCTCCTGCCTCAACCTGTCATGTGCTGGGATTATTAGTCTCACTTTCTTCTTTTTTTAAATAGTTTGTTTTTAATTTATGAGAATTGATTGATGTTTTGCCTGCATGAATGTCTGTGTGAGGGCGTTGAACCCTCTGGAACTGAGTTACTGTAAGGTGTCATGCGGGTGTTGGAAATTGAACCCAAGTCCTCAGGAAGAGCAGCCAATATTCTCAACCTCTGAGCCATCTCTCCAGCCCCCCTCCTCCCCCTTCTTCATTTTTAAAATTTTAATTTATTTTTAATTAATTAATTATTGGTTTTTCGAGACAGGGTTTCTCTGTGGCTTTGGAGGCTGTCCTGGAACTAGTTCTTGTAGACCAGGCTGGTCTCAAACTCACAGAGATCTGCCTGCCTCTGCCTCCCGAGTGCTGGGATTAAAGGTGTGAGCCACCACTGCCTGGCTTATTTTTAATTTTTTTTAAATTATTTTTTCATGTGTGTGTGCATGTCTGTGTCTGCGAGGCATTGGCTCTCCTGAAGCTGGAGTTAGAGGCAGTTGTGATCTGCCTGACATGGGTGCTGGGATTTAAACCTTCATTCTCTGGGAGAACAAGTGTGCTTAACCACACAGCCATCTCTCCAGCCCTTATTTTCTTAATGATGCTTCTTATGTCCAGGACAACCTTGTTACAATAAATCTTTTCACGCTAAAAGCCACCCGAGCCCTACCGCCACGTGGGCGCATTCGGCCAGCCACCTGAGTTCTGCCTGCCGAGTTAGGGCCCCAAATAATACACAGAGACTTATATTAGGTACAAATGCTGCTTGGCCAATGACTAGGATTTCTCATCTGCTAGCTCAGTCTTAATTATCATGAATCTATATATTTTATAAGACTTATCGTATTGAGGACGCCTTCCATTGGCGTCCTCATCCCGGGATCACATGGTGACTCTGGAGAAGAGAGAAGGGGCCCACTTCCTTCCTGCCCTTGTTTATATATGAGTTGCTAGCTCAGTCTTAATTATCATGAATCTATATATTTTATAAGACTTATCGTATTGAGGACGCCTTCCATTGGCGTCCTCATCCCGGGATCACATGGTGACTCTGGAGAAGAGAGAAGGGGCCCACTTCCTTCCTGCCCTTGTTTATATATGAGTTTCCCTGCTATGTCACTTCCTGTGGATCACCACTTCTTTACTACATTTCCCAGAATCCTCCTTGACTCCTAGTCCCGCCTAACTTGCTGCTTCATTGGCCAAACAGTACTTTATTTATCACCCAATAAGACAAACACATACACAGAAGCACTTCCCCCATCACAACCTCTTCTCCCTTCTTTGTCCACTTGTTAACCTTTCTGAAAGCATTGCCATTGGCTTGGTATGGTGGCACATACCTCTAAATGCTGGCACTTGGGTGGTGGAACCAGGAGGTTCTAGAGTTCAAGCTAGCTTCCCAGGGAGATGGCCAGAAAAAAAAAAAAAAAAGGATTTTTTTCCTATGGTTCTTGTGGAGCTTAGAACCCCAAGGACTTACTTTAACCCTGCCTCTGACCTTACCTGGAACTGCTCAGTGATATATGGACCTGAGATGCTATTTCTTTGTTTTTATTGTATGTGCATAGGTGTTGTAGTACATGTGTATGGTGGTGTGAGTGTGGAGGTCTAAGGACAACTTTGTGGCATTGATCTATCCTTCTACCTCTGCAGATTGTACTCGTGTGACCAAGCTGTCCAAAAGCACTTTTACACCCTGAGACATCTCGACACCCCGGGGGCTGACATTTAATTGTAAAGGCCTACAACGTAGATATCTGTTTCACGAACAGTCCACTGTCCTTCTCCCAGGGGGAAGACGGACTCCTGCTTCATTGTAGGATGTGTGTAAACTTTGTGCTCATCTATTCCACGTCACTTCCAGAATAGGATGTCAAAGCCATGGTGTGATGAAGGCATGGGGCAGTGGCCACAATAATGTTAAGAGCCTACCTTCTTTGAATTTTGATCATTGGAAGATGTGACATGACTTTTTTCTTTCTTTCTTTCTTTCTTTCTTTCTTTCTTCCTTTATTTTGTAAGAGTCTGGCATACTTTCTGATAGGAGGAAGTAGGGGCTTGGGCAAAAGGTTGAACTGGTCTTGGCTGTACTATTAATTTATTGATTGTGAATTTGATAAGATCCTTCATCTTCTCAAACAAAGTGTTTCTTTCACCTGTAAATGATGAGTGAGGGACCAGACGACTCCACCTCTGCCCTCTTTGCCTGTTAGTTTCTGGCATCCGTGCTTCATTAGAGGGAGAAGAAAAGTTCATGTCACAGAACTGCTGTGGGGAGTGTGCAGATATTGTGGTGTAGGTCAAAGCATCGATTCACTGCCTTTCCACTGGCAATGTGAGGATCATGACACCAGTTTCCAACTCTCGAGGGTTCCTTTTTTATTTCAAGCTCTGTGCTGAGAACTTGACCTGAAATACACATAAAAACTGCCGTGCTGTTTCTACTTTCAGATGAGTAAACCGAGGCCCAGAAGATCTTAGTAGTTTTCCTAGGGTTGTGCAGCTAGTTGGCAGAGCCAGAATTGTAACCCTCAAAGTCTGATCCACTCCTGTGTTCCCGAGCACTGTATTTGAAACAGAACCATGTTTCCGAGTCAAATCAAAGAGTTCAGCTGCTGGCTACCACTGTGATCCCTAGCCAAGTAAACACAGTGTGCCACATTGACCTTTATTTTATCTTTAGCAGTGGTACTATCGCCCAAGGATGCTGAAGTGAACTTACCAGGCAGTGTGTGTGGAAGAAGACTTGAACAGCACCGGCTTTATGTACAGTGCCTGCTGTTATTAAGCTAGCACAGACCAGCTATGGAGGAGAGGGCCATGCAGCATGTGGCTGAAGCAGTACCTTCTAGGATCTAGAATAGTGGCATGTGTTTGGGTGAAGAGTGTGGCGTATCTGGCACATTGGTGGGCTGTGAGTAGGGAGAATGGCTAGACAATTGCTGCAGGTAGACCTGGGAGGTTGTAGTATGCCAGGCACTGAAGGATGGTTTATCTCCCTGGTTTCAGATTCTCTCCGAGAGGGAGCAGGTATTAACAAGCTTTCGTGTCTCCTTGCAGGGTGGGGCCGAGGATGCGACATCCTCATCTTCTACAGCCCAGATGCGGAGGAATGGTGCCAGTACCTACAGGACCTTTTCGTGTCATGCCGTCAGGTTCGCAGCCAGAAGATGCAGACATACCGGCTGGGCCCGGATGCTTCCTTCTCTGCCGAGGACCTGCTGGTCTTCCGGAATGCACGGTGCATGCTGGTGCTACTGTCTGCGGGGCTGGTGGAATGCTTCTGCCGGCCGGGACTGCTGCCAATGCTGCAGCGTGCCTTCCACCCTCCACGGCGTGTGGTGCGGCTGCTGTGTGGAGTGCAGTCCAGAGATGAGAACTTTCAGGCCTTCTTTCCCGAATGGGAGCACTGGCAGGAGCTCACCTGTGATGATGAGCCAGAGACCTACCTGGCGGCCGTGAGGAAAGCCATTTCTGAAGGTAAGGGTTCATGGCAAAGAGAGGTGAGCTCAAGAGCAATTATAGAGCCACGTTATAGATCCAGGAGAAGTATTTTTATTTGAACATTGGTCATTTGCTCTGGAAAATGACAAAAACTCTCCGGAGATGCTGTGTCCCCTGAGGCTTTCTCTCAGGGATAGAGCACTTCCTAGCATCTGCAAGTCCCTGGATTCAATCCCCCAGAGACTTAGGTATTTCTTGGTTTAGAGCAGTCAGATTTCTAAGATGAGATAGATTGAACCTTCTTTCTAGAACTTTCTATGTTTTGGAAGACACAGAATCCAGGTTTCCTACTAGAAGAGGGGATACGAAGGAGAGACCTTCTTCTTTGATGGTTATGGGTGTGAGCGGCTTGCCTGTCAGCCCTCCTGCTGCAGCTCCCCCTGCTTGCAGTTCACTTCCACTTTTTCTTTGCAATGACCTCCAAAACTTTGTTGAAGTGTCAATTAAAGATAACCTGTTTATGGAGAAATAACCCTCTATTTTTCTGGCCAGCCCACCTTGTGTCTTTTGCACTGCTTCTCCTTTCAAATTGGTGACATTCCAGCCCTTCCTGCAGGGCTAATGCCTTCAGCTGGCCCAGGAAATGTGACACACTCTGATTCACAAAAGCAGAAGATGGGCACTGGGATGGTCACAGGTCGCAGCTTTTCTTCCCCTTTTGGCTTTTCTTTTTGGCCTTTGTGTGTGTTGTGGGCAGGCTATACATCTGTCTTGTGTTTTCTTTCCATTTGAGATCTTGGCACCAGCCAAGAAAACTGGACAATTCCCGGCCCAATTTCACTGTGCCTCTGCAGTCCCAGGTGTAACCTGTTCATTGATGTAGCTCATCCATCCCCTCTCCCTTCTCATGATCCAAATCCAGAATTAACCAGCTTTAAGCTGGGCCTGGTGGTGCATGCGGGCTTGAAATCCCAGCTTTTTGAGAGACAGTGGCAGGAAGATCCAAATTTCAAGGTTGGCCTGGACTTCACAGTGAGTTCAAGACCAGGCCTGGATAACTTAGTAAGACTGTTTAGGGTGGAGTAGGAGGAAAATAAGAAGAGGCTGAGGATGTAACTGAGATCTGGAACGCTTCCTCTGCCCTAGTATGTGCAAGGCTGGAGGTTCAGCCCCTAGGACTGAAGCAAGAACAACGATCCTGTGTTCTGGTTTGCTTTCTGTTGCTGTGATAAAACACGCTGACCAAAGGCCATCTGGGGGAGGAAAGGATTTGTTTCATCAGGGACTTAAGGCAGGAGCTCAAATCAGAAAGCAATGGAGGAGAGCTGCTTACTGGCTTGCTCCCTATGGCTTGCTCAGTTTGCATTCTTTTTTTTTTTTTAAATATTTTATTTATTTTGCGTACAACATTCTGCTTCCACTAGAAGAGGGCACCAGATTTCATAACGGATGGTTGTGAGCCACCATGTGGTTGCTGGGAATTGAACTCAGGACCTATGGAAGAGCAATCAGTGCTCTTAATGTCTGAGCCATCTCTCCAGCCCTCAGTTTGCATTCTTATACAATCCAGGACCAGCAGCCCACAGGTAGGCCCTTCCCAGACAATGATTCATCAAGAGAATGCCCCAAAGACATGCCCACAGGCCAATCTGATGGTGGCAGTTCCTCAGTTGAGGTTTCTTTCTTCCCTGTTGAGTATGAGCAGGTTACAGCATGGCAGAGCCGTGCTCAGTGCTCACTTTGTAATACAAATTACTAGTGTTAATTCGAGAGATGACTCACCTGAAAGGCTTGGGACCCCAGTTAGCAGTTTTCTAGAGTTTGCTCATCTTGACTTTGAAATGACAGAAAAAGCACATCATTCGAATGTGCATGATCACATTTCATTGCTGTTTTGGGAGCTGTGAGCCAACTTACAAAGAACCCAGACACCCTAGTTGTTCCTCCCCAAGAGTTATGTCATTGCAGTGGTCCAATGCAACCCAATCATTGTAGGCCACCACAATCTGCCAATCAATCATTCAGAGCTCCTTGGGAGTGTTGCCATTTCACAGTATGTATTCATGATTATTTTCTTAAACAGTATTGTGGCTGTATTTTAAAAACTATTAGAGGGTTGAGAAGAAGCTCGATGATAAAGTGCTTGCTTAATGTTTGTTAAGTCCCAAGATGTGGGTGCTGGAGGTTAAGAAGTTGTGCTGCTCTTGCAAAGAACCTGAGTTTGGTTCCTAGTACCCACTTCCGGTGGCTCACAACTACCAGGAATTTCAGCTCCTTTAGGAGCTGTGGGTTCCTGGGGCATCTTTACCCTCCCCCCCACACACATGCACACAGACACACATGTGCACATATAACTAAGTAGTAAAAATAAATCTTGAAAAGTAAAAAAGATTGCTTTTTAATATTATTTGGGTGTATGCAGTTAGACATCTGCATACATTGATCTCCTCTAGTATTTTACTTTTTACTCCGGACTCTGGGGCATTCTGTGAGCCTTCAACTTCCAGCGTTTCAGAAGGTGAATTATTTCACAGTAGTGTTTCTGTTCCAAGAACAAAAAAACCTGTCATTGGAAACAGATTATTTTGATAAACAATTAAAATAAGCTGCTTAGTAGAAAATCTGCAGTTCAGAATCAATGGGTGTAGGAACATACAGAATTAAAGGGGATTGGCGACTCAGATTGCTGGTGCTCATACATAGTCAATTATACTTGAATTTGAATAAATGCCTTGTAATGATAAATCTTTCTGCTGAGCCACCTGAGCCCTGCTTCCACATGGGCCCTTTCTGCCAGGCCGCCCAAGTTCTGCCCGCCGCCACGTTAAGGTCCCAAGTAACACACAGAGACTTATATTAGATACAAATGCTGCTTGGCCAATGACTAGGATTTCTCATCTGCTAGCTCAATCTTAATTATCATAAATCTATATATCTTATAAGACTTATCTTATCAAGGACGTCTTCTGCTGGCGCCCTCTCTTGCCGGCAGATCACATGGCGACTCCAGAGCAGAGACCAGGAGGAAGAGAGAAGGGCCGACTTCCTTCTTGCCCTTGCTTATATATGAGTCTCCCTGCTATGTCACTTCCTGCCTGGATCACCACTTCTTTTCTACATTTCCCAGAATCCTTCTTGACTCCTAGTCCAGCCTAACTTGCTGCCTCATTGACCAAGCAGTACTTTATTTATCATCCAATAAGACAAACACATACATAGAAGCACTTCCCCCATCATCTCCTCTTTTCTGTCTAAATAAAAAGAAGGGTAACTTATCTTTTATAATAGCTGAAGAAAACTATAACCATAACAATCTGTCTTCAACTCCATCAAAGACCACAGAAGGATGATATATAAACTCAAGAACTGACAGAGACATCTCGTTGCATGGACAGTCACCCAAAGTTCCTCTGTAACGTTGGGGCATCCATCTTCAGCTTATAGGCCACAGTGTGTCTGACACACTTCTCCATTTCAGCAGGAACACTTCAGGACTGTTCATCTTGTTTTGTAAGTTCAGCAGTCCCTTTCTTGTGAAGCAGGGTTCGGGCGGCTCAGCAGAAAGATTTATCATTACAATGCCTCTCAAATTTTCATGTACAATGAGGAGCCTGAGGACCTTATTAGTAGCATATGTTGACTGAAGACTGGGTGAACTCATTTATTTCTTATTGCATTTATTTCTTCTTCTCTCATACATTATATCCCAAATGCAGTTTCCCTCCCTCCACTTCTCCCAGCCCCTCCCTCCCAACTCCCCTCCTCCCCTCCTCTCCCTTTTTCCCTTCAGAAAAGAACAGGCCTAAGGCTATCAGCTTGGTCTAACAAGTTACAATAAAACTAGGCACAGACCCTCACATCAAGTCTGGATATGGTAACCCAGTAGGAGGAAAAGGGTCCCAAGAGCAGGCAAAAGAGTCAGAGACACCCCCATTCCCAACTGTCAGGAATCCCATAGGAACACCCAGCTACCTAACCATAACATATTTGTAGAGGACCTAAGTCAGACCTACACAGGCTCTCTGTTTCTTCAGTGTCTGTGAGCCCCTATGAGCCCTGCTTGGTTGAAGAACCTGCGTTTATTTTTCTAATTATTTATTTTTATTATATGTGCATTGGTGTTTTGACATAGGTGTCTGGTGTTTTGCCATGGGTGTCAGATCACCTAGAACTGGAGTACCAGACAGTTACAAGCTGCCATATGGGTGGGTGTTGGGAATTGAACCAGGTCCTCTGGAAGAGCAGTCAGTGTTCTTAACCACTGATCCATTTCTTCAGGCCTGAATGTTCAGATCTAACAAGCTCTGTTGCCAGTGTGGCGCATGGTCCACCACCTTCAGACCACTGGTCACAGCTCTACTGTGCATGAACCATTTTCTCAAAGTTCTCTGGAAACCAGGGCAGCTCTTGGATACCCACTGGTCTGGGAATAAAATTAGACCAGTGTTAGATGGTTAAACTGTTAGTTTTCAGTGTGGAACCCTGGAGTTCTCTTCTACTTACAAAGTCAGTGTGTTCAGTCTGACAGGTTTTAATCTTTCAGTTCTCTAGATAGAAATGGTCCTGACTTTGAAATGGTCCTACTGCTACATTAATCCCTATTCTTTCTTCACTTACTAATTGATAAATATTTCTATTTCATGAAAAATATTTTGGTGGATTTATGCTATCTTTAAGTTTTGCTGTCTCCTTAAAATTGAACAGATGTTTTAATTAGAGTCTGCAGTGTGTTGGAGTTTATCTTCCAAGTTCTTCATCTGTAAAATGATGGGGTTGGACCAATGACGTGGAAGGTTTCTTCCATCCCTCTGTGCTGTAATACATCATTATACACTTGCTAAGAAGATGGCAAGTCACCGAAACTTTTCAATGGGTCCAGCTCAGTTCCCAGCAACAGTGCATGCAGTATGGGAGGCTATTGTTCTGGATTCTTTTCTGGACTCATTGAGTGATTATTTTCAAATAAGGAAGTGAGAAAACCCAGGCTTACAGCACAGCAATTATTTCCTCTTTTGACTGAAGCTCTATTCTTTGCT